TTTTTGGCAATGAGAAGCATAATTCATTTGCCTGACTGCAACTGCTAATGTGCACTGGGAAACTGAATGCAAACAGAAACATAGATCTGAAAACCTGATCTTTGGGGTCTTTTTTCTTCAGATAAACTGAATTTAAAGTAAGACAAGTAAAATTAATCTAAAAGAGGCAACTTTTACAAGATTGTCTCCTTGATACTTGGTCAGAAAAGGGAGCTATGACTTTTTCTTAACAGAACCACATAATATTGGTAAGTTTTCTTTGCCTTAGTGTGAACATTAGTGTGCCTTTCTGCCTTCCACTTTAGCAGCAGCATCATGTAGGTTTCTTGTTAGTGCTGCAGAGGTGTGAATGTGGGTAAGTGATCTACCTATTTAGTGTCATTCTGAAACTGCTGACTCCACCAGTTTACAGGCTCCTTTAAATATTTCTCTGCTTCAGACTTTCTCAATGTTTGGTATTCTACACTGCACCAATGATTTCTCGCAGCCTCTGTAACGCAGGTTAATGGCTTGCTAAGGAATAACTCCCAAGAGGTTAAGAGCCCTGCACCTTGATCTCAGTGCTAGTGATTATCTGCGCTAATTTTATGCTTTCTATACCGCAGCACTGACCAGAGCTTCTGTTTGTCCCTTGGCTGTAGAAGTGTGAACAATTAGGGCTGTAGACAGAGCTATACTAATCGCATTCGCAGTGTAATGTCTGTCTTTAGTGTATTATTACAAGTGAAACATCATCATTCCACTTCTCATTGTTTTTTTTTAATTGTAGGAAAAAAAAAAAAAAAAAAAAAAAAAAAAAAAAAGAAGAAGAAGAAGAAATTGAGATTGTTTTGAAAAGTAGAAGAAATTTTTTCTTCTAGGTCTTCCATTTTGGTTTCCTGTCATTATCTCTGCATCGCAGCCTTTACAATACATGTGCAGAACTACTGCTTCACTACCAAGAGCACTAGGAATTGCTCTTATAAAACCCCAGACCTTTAAGGGTCTCACATGATGTCTTGCATCCATGGGCTGTTAACCCAGCTGCTGAAGCAAAGGACAGTTATCCCCAGGAGCTCAGTGCTGTAGCTGTGCTGCCGCAGCATTGCCTGTGCTGCTGCAACTGCAAAATAAGTTTCAGAGAGGCAGAAACAGACCTAGATCATGGGGACAAAAAAGGAACCATGATGAGGTTTCTCATGTTCCTCTAGGGTCAACAACAGATAAGGTTCTATAGTGCTATTCTCCTTCTGTCATTTTAATAGATAGCATGGAAGAGTAAATGTCTTATCTCCATGATGAAATCTCAAATTCAGCCATCTTTCTTAAAGGATACCAAGTGATGAGGAAGTGAGCCTCTTCCTCTGTAGAGAGCTCACAGTAGCCCATCCATCTCTGCTTTCTGTACAACAGCAAATTAGATTATACCACATCTTTGCCAAGGGTCTCAGATAGAAGTCATTTTGTGCACGGAACTGGCTATTTTCTGCCCTTATGAACAGCACTTCTGAACAGAAATGTCCTTTGCCAATGCAGAGAGATCTTGAATAGCCTGTGGGGAAAGAAGAGATTCCCTCCCCACCTCCTGCTACAGTCCTCAGCACCCATGCTGTGGAATATGGGATTCAATTAGAAGGGATGCCGTTGGGTTGTGAAGATTTCACTTAAAATGCTCAAATTAGAAGGAGAAGCTTGACAATTGTGGTAGCAGGTCACACTGTTAAAAGCCATAATATGTTTACATTTCATATCCCAGCCATTAGGTCAGTAATTCTTTGGCAGATAGATGGACAGGATGAATGAATTGGATATTGTTTGCTGCAGCTGAATCCTTGGGTATGCTCATTTCAGAGTCTGACTGTTGTGAAACATTCAGAAAACCAGCATTTACTTCTTATCTCAGTAGCAATGGATGTTACAGAACTAAACCATATGAAAATACAAAGCACCTTAACTTTCAAGTTAGAGGCAACATCTGTACCAAGTAATTTAGATAGCTTCTGTTATAAAACACTTGATGAAAACTGCTGAGGTTTATCTGGTGGAAATATAAAAACATAACATGAGGGTGTTGCTCCTCTTCTATATTTTTGCAGACTTTAAAACTTTTATCGGATAATGAATTTTGATGTTTCTGGACTGCCATAATAGCATTATCAGATGCTTGCAAAGCAATGCAGTATTTTAAAAGGTAATTGAAATAAACAACTCAGAAGTTTACAGAAATTCAAGAATCATGTTGCCATGAGATAATCAGGCTACAATACATGCTGCTTTTTTCTGGTACCAAAGATAACATTGGACCACATGGAGAATAGGGGGTTGAAATTGTCACTGATAAAGCTGAAGGGACACAAAGTGGTTCATTCTCAAGGCAGAAGATACCCAAACTGTGAACAGAACAAAACAGAACTTCTTAGTGGCTGACTGATGTGCAAAACTACTTCTCTCAAAAGAGATTATCCTGGATTTTTCACTAAATTAAAAAAATGAAATATGTTAAATCACATTTTTCAATATGAGAATACTGTGCTTGAGGAATACTGTGTGAGAGGCTCTCTGGATTTGTACAGTAGCGGACTGTGAGTAGAAGGTAAGGAGGGAGAGAAATGTTCGATTATCACACCAGAAGCTCTTTTTTGCACTTTCCCACAGTGCCATCTAAGCCTTCTCTGCCTACTACTCTCATGAAGAACTTTTGAACTTTTTCCAGCTGGTTAACCCTCTCTCAGTCTATGGACATGGCATGCTCAGACCTCTGCCTGAGATCTCCCTCCTTTCTGTGTCCTTCCAGCACCACCATTCCCAGGGGAGATTTTGAGCCTTCTCTGTCATATTTTGAATATGAAGAATTACATCCTTCAAAAGATCAGTAATGGCCCAGTCTTACTCTGTCCTGGGGGGCTTGCCTCAAATAACACAGTCTTGCTTCTCAGAGTACATGCTAGGTCCCAGAGCTAAGCTGCTGTTCATCCTTACACCACCTGGTTTAAAGTGAATTATTGTTCATTGGCTGCATGGTCTTTAACCTTGAAAAACTGAATTTATTTCATCTTTGTGTAAATTAAATTAATGTCACTCCAAGTGAAAGGTTTCATGTGACAAGCCTTTATAAATTTAATTTTTTTCTTCAAATTGTCTGTCCTCTTCTACTTAAAAACACAAACTGAATATTAAGTGCAGGATTATTGCAGCTATTAATCATGCAACTAAATAAAGCCGTTAGCAAACTGTGGATAACTGTAAATAAAATAATAGCTTTACTATCTCTCAGTTTCGTGTAGACTGGCTATTTAGTGAAAGACAAAATAAGAGCTGTTGTGTTGTATAGGGAGAAATTTACTGGCGTTGCATGAAGATAAAATACAGAAATATAATTATTATGTAAGGTCTAAATAGTACTATTTAATGTTTTTCTTCCTTAACCAGATGCTTGGGTTTTTTTCTTGATTCTAGTCTCCCAGGTCTGTTTTATTTAACGAGTGTTTCATATAAAATGCATATATAGGGCTTTTGTTTCTCAAATAATTTAACAGTAGGACTACAGCTGGATTTTTCACATTTTTCACATGATTTTTCAATACTAGTCTAGCATTACATGGGCAGATGGCATGACTTCTCTGATCTCTAGGGGTTTGGGCACTTTTATCCAAGGCGAAGGTGGAAATTACCCCCTAATCTTCAGCTCCTTTGGCGGGTGTTTCTGCAAGTTGCAGATATGGCAAATTGCAAGCCCTCAATATTAAAACTGCAGGATGAAATGGTAAATGAGGAAATTTAAGTCTGCCAACTCTATTTTTTTTTCCTTTTTAAGCAGTGAGCCTCTGAGACTTAGCAAAGGTAAGAAAATGGGGAAAAAGATTTTATGGCATGAGAGAAAACAAACCCAAGGTATTCAAGAATTCTTGACCTGCACTACAGACTGTGCACTGAATTCTTGTTAGAGAGCAGAAATAGTCCAGAATACCATTCAATTTAAAGACAAACTTCATTAATATGCATCTTTTCACCTTTATTTTCACTGAATTAATTTTCTCTTCCTTTCTTCTTCCTCTCTCCTTTCTATCTTTCGGCTTTCTTATTTGCTTATTTATTTATTTATTTATTGCAATACTTTCTTTTTCATGTCTTATTTCCTTAATAATTGTCGTAAGGTAAGTAAGAAACAATTTCTGCTCCTATTCAGGCAAAGCAAATTTTGAGTGCAGAACATTTATTATTTTTGGTTCTCTTTTTGAATGTTTGAGATGTACTTCAGTGCTATTTCTTCACCATAAAGGATGAAAGTGGCTAATAGAATGCAAACACAAGAACAATGAAGGATTTATTTCACAACTGACAACATATAAAATAGTGTTCTTCCAGTCATTTGCAATCTCCTACCTATATTTATTTCTGTATGTATGTATGTTCTCTTTTGAATCTGAGAGGGCAGTTATCTCTAACGCTATTACCTACACCTTTCATTTTTTTAATTATTTTTCCTTTTCTGTTTTGGCAAAAGATTTGGTGAATTGAAAAATCAGCGATCCAACCATTCCAACGTTTTTCATTAATCTAATTCATTGTCTAATTTCAGTTCTCCACTACTCACTCGCCAATCTTTCTTGCACTTAACCATCTTCCTAGGCCACTAATTATGTCAGCCCAGCGAAGAAGAGAGTGTCACATTCATTAGAGTGCTCACTTCATTTGATCACTCAGGGTATTACACCATAATGAATATCTAATTACAGAGGAGCGTGGTGTGTGAGCTCTTTTATCTGTGTACTGTCAACTGATTTCAATGTTCTACTTGCCCTAGTCTTCACATTTCCAAATTTACTGTAGAGTAACAACTGACGGTAGCTTTAGCAAACATAATGTATAAAGATGGTTAAGGAACGAAATTGAAGCAACTCTAAAAACTGGCTTGAAACATGAGAGTAAGCTAATATTAACAGAAATGTTTTGATCAATGTGTATTTTTTTCCTGTAAGTCTGTACATTCTTGTTTCTGTTTTTTTTTTTTTTCCCCACAGTGGTTATGTCTTTGATTATGATTACTACAGGGATGATTTCTACAATCGGTACGTGTGGTTATTGTTTTCGTATGTTTGACACAATTTCTACTCTTTCTTTATAATGTAATCACATTGTTTGGTTATGCAGGTATGTTTTGATTCTACATATTATTTGTTTCATCATTTCTACTGTGTATTTGAAGTAGATTATTTGAATATACCACAAACAGTTTACCACCCAATATTTGCTCACTGAAGAGCTCTTTTGGTTTTACCCTTCTCTGTGAGCTACCAGGGCATTTTCTTTGCTGAAAAATTTAATGGTAACTTAATTGCTCAGTATTTCTTTCTACAGAGTTCTTCTAGGCTTACTTTCACTGGAACATACAATGGCTGCAAAATTCTTCATTATTGATATTTGTGTCTTTTTCTTTAAACCAAGAATATGAAAAGATATAGACTGTCCCCTGAAATCGCTGTTCTTGTCTTCCAAGAATACTTAGAATTCTAGAAAGACCTTAAGTGAAGCCAGACAAGTTGAACGTGTGTATTTCCATAGCAGCAAAAAGTGTGAGGATACACAATTACAATTACCTGAGATGAGTACCTTCATACAGCCTAGCTCAACGCTGTGGAAATTTTAAGGTCTTCATTTGTGAGTGGTTAAGTTAACACAAAAGGAGTGCCATCCAGAGTAAGGTAAGCCTGGACAGGCTCAAAAAGTGGGCGCACAAGAATCTAATGACGTTAAACAGGGCCAAGATCAAGGTGTTTCACTTTGGTTAAGGCAATCCCAATGAGTACAGAATGTGAGAACTCATTGTGAGTCCTCAGAGATGGATATGGGGATCCTGGTGGACAAAAAGCTGGACATGATCCAGCAGTGTGCACTTGCAGCCCGGAAGGGCCAAAAATATCCTGGGCTGCATCAAAAGAGAGATGGCCAGAAGGGAGGGGGAGGTGAAGTGGATTGTCTCCCTCTACTCTGCCCTCTTTGAAGTCTCATCTGTGGTACTGTGTCCAATTTTGGGGACACCAGTACAAGAGGGAGGTGGAGCTGTTGGAACAGCTCCAAATGTGGCCCACAAAGACGATCAAAGGGCTGGAGCACCTCTCCAATGAAAATACATTGGAGTTGTGCTTGTTCAGTTTAGAGAAGAGATGCTTCGGGGAGATCTCACTGTGGCCTTTTAGTACTTGAGGGGAGCTTACAATTGGGAAGGGAACTTTTTACTTTTTACACAGACTGATAGGGATGATAGGATAAACATGAGTGGCTTTAAACTAAAAGAGAGCAAATTTAGGTTAGATGTGAGGAATACATTTTTTCTCAGAGAGCGATGAGTCACTGGAACAGGTAGGTTATCCAGAGAGATTGTGGTTGCCACGTCCCTGAGGGAGTTCAAAGCCAGGCTGTATGGGTCCCTGGGCAGCCTGATCTGATGGATGGCAAACCTGCTTATGGCAGAGGGATTGGAACTGTGTGATCTTCAAGGTCCCTTCTAATCCAAGCCATTCTATCACTCTGTGATTCTATGACAACGAATATAGAAGAATCACCAAAAGACAGGGTTAATATGGAAGTCCATGGATAACCAACTTCTGATCCAGCTATAAAATATTTCTTCATTATATGAGAGCTGCTCTGGAATTAGTTTTGTTATGCTGGCCTACAACATCAAAGGGAGATGTTTCAACCACTACTGCCATATTGCCAACTTCTCGCCAATGTTCCATTACATGTTGTTGCCATGTGACAGATGGCAGCAGAGGAGCAGTCTGATAAAATGGCATCTGGCATGGAAGCAAAGATGTGGAGTTGAATTCTCCCATGCAGAAAAAATGGTGGCTGTTACATGAAAGACAAGCCATGTTCCAGACAGCCATGCAGATTTTACGAGCATAGCATGCAGACTCTTGTTTATTGGTGGCAAAAATGCATGACTAATGGTGGTGACTATGCTAATAATTAGTGTTTTTTGGCTGAGAATATGTGCTATCAAGTGATGTTATTTTCCTCTTTGCATTGATTGTATATTACTTGGAAATAAATATAAAAAGCAGGCATCATTTTCAGAGCGACCCATATACTAGCCTAGTGTAGTATAGGCTAAGTGAGTCAGATGAGAATTCTTCTTTGCTCTATCAACCTTTATTCTGAGACTTCTTTTACATTATAACAGCAGACGACAACAGAGTAGTGACTTGCACCCTGAAATTAAGTTTTTCATGTGTATGTACATTTCTGCTCAGAAACACTGTAGGAAAAGTATACAGAAATAATGTCTTTGTTTTGTTTTTGTTTTTGTTTTTTTCCCCAAGGATTTATTCAATTCAAGTTGCTTTATTTGTTTCTTCATATACATGTGCTTACCTTGTGCTTACCTTGGACAAAGCTAAAAACAGTTAACTATAAGCATACAGAGCCATCAACTCAGTTTAATCCTGTAGAGTCCACCCTTAATAGTAGAAGTTGCTCCTCTCCTGGAAGAAGTTAACTCACACAGACTTTTTACTTTCCCCAGAGTTGATGCTTTGATTTTTATCAGTGGATTTGCCTATGTTTTATACAGTGCTCTTTCTGATTTATACCATCTGAACATGAAAGTTATTAGTCCTTATGCTTTTTCACTAGTTCTGTATGTTGCAGATCACTCTAATGAACTAATTACACTTCCACAACAGAAGAAATATTTATGGGATATTAAATGCTGCTGGTAGTCTGGGTTTGTGATCGTCTTACTATGAAAAACTACTGACAGAAAAAAGTGCTCATAAATGTATTCAATAGTATAGCTTTCTGATTTAGAAATCCTTCATCATTAAGAAAGCATCATTTTAATGGAAGAAAACTCAAATATAAGATTCACCTTCCAGGACTGGAAATGCTGATGATGACATAAAAAGTTTAGGAGGTTAAATGTCTCTGTAAGATTTGCGGTAAGGGGTATGGAAGGTGAGAAGTCTTATGTGACAGGCATGAAAAAGAAAAACTAACAGAATTCAGTGCATTGACACAACTATCATATAGATCAACATACTTATAGGAAATATAAATGAAGAAATTTATTAATGATTTTTTGAATTTCTGAACTTCTCTTGTTTTTTAATATTTACTAGTTTTCCAAACTTTTCTGAATTATTCAGAATGAATACACCTGTCTTATCTTGACTAAAGCAATTATGGGATCAGAAAAGTGTGGCAAAACTAGTTTCTTACATGAATTAAAATTGTTATGAAGGCAGACTGACAAGATCAGTACTGCACAATTTAGAATGAGGGAGAATATGCACTTTATCTGCATATTTGTGATTATAGGAGCAAAGCATTATTTCATAACTGAATCGTGGAATCATTGAATGGTTTGAATTGGAAGGGTCCTAAAAGATTGTCTAGTTCCAATCCCTCTGCCATAGGCAGAGACACTTTCACAGAATCATAGGGGTTGAAAGGTGCCTCAGAGGACCACTAAGTCCAACCCTTTGCTAAAGCAGATTCCCTACAGCAGGTCACACAGGAAATTGTCCAGATGGGGTTTGAATATTTCCAGAGGAAGACACTCTGCAACCTCTCTGGGCAACCTGTTCCTCTGTGCTCCATCGTCCTCACTAAAGAAGCTTTTCCTTGTGTTCATATGGAACTTCCTGTCTTGCAGTTTGTGCCCACTGCCCCTTGTTCTGTTGCTGCTTACCACTGAACTGAGTCCGGCCACATCCACTTGACTCCCGTGCTTCATATACTTATAAACAGTGATGAGATCCTCTCACTCTTCTTTTCTCCTTGCTGAACAGTCCCAAGTCTCTCAAATTTTCCTCATAAGACACATGCTCTAGAACCTCTGTGTCCCTTTCTCTGCCAGATCAGGCTGCCCAGGGCCCCATCCAATCCAGTCTTCAATACCTGCAGGGATAAGGTGGGACATCCACAGCTTCTCTGATCTTCACCTCCCTTATACTAAAGAATTTCTCCCTTGTATCTAATGTAAATCTACCCTTTCTCAGTTAAAAGCCATTACTTCTTGTCCAGTCATGACAATTCCTTCCTCATTTTTCCTCTAGACCCACCCCTCCCAGTACTGAAGATTTCTGTTAATCATTTCTCACGTTACAAACGCAAGATTAGGCAATGTACTTCAAAGCTTTTAAAATGCAGCACCTTTTTATAGAAAGCACGTCAGTGAAATATGTACAACTTCATACAAGTATGAACTGCTAACAACTAGAAAGAAAAATCACCTTTGGACAAATTGTTACATAATCTACTGTTTTATAACTTAGAGGTTTTCTGGAATATTTTATTCCAGTAATGTCATGTGAGAGAATGTGACCAACCTGCACATGATCCAATATAATAAAGGATGTGAGTGACAACCAACTGTAATATTTCTGTAAAATTTTAAAAACGTGTATTTTGTGTTCTTAATTATACAGAATTTTTAGTTATGCTTACAATAGTTAAAAACTGCTTATTCAAACAGCACATTCAAAGTGATGGAATTCAAATTTAATGTGAGTGATGGGATCTTTATGGTATATGTTGTAAACAACTAAAGAAAAGGAGAGGCACAGACAACTGGAAGGATTGCAGGATTTAAATGTTAGGTGTTTACTTGCCAGAAAATGGTATAGAAGACTTAAGTTTGATTCTGCTTCCTGATCAGTGTGCTGCTAGACAGCGTGGCTGTTAATCACTGTTTCTTGTATCTCTCTTTTCAAATATATATCTATCCACCCAGCTGGGAAACAGTGGTTAGAATTGTGAAAATTAAACATGCAGTTACAAATTTACATAATTAGTAGTTGCAATAGCATGTGAGCAGAACACACGATATTTCCTGATAATGTTGCTTGTCCCTCTATTTTGGTCTTAGAACTCAAAGTCTTAATTTTCTCAACTTTTTTCTCCTAATCTGTTTTGTTCAGAGCCAAAGGATTTTACATTTTAAGTATATCTAACTTTTGATTACTTTTCCTATTGTCTTTATTTTCTTCTATGCAGGTTAATCAGTTGCTGTTGATAAATGTGCTTTCTAAGATTGGGACATTCTGTTTGGGAACACTACTTGTTTTTGTTTATAGAACATCTTCTAGTGACTGCAGTAGCAATTCTCTGAATATATACAGTGGTTTGGTTTGAACAAGGCTAACATCCTATTTTACTAATCATGCTTTAGTATTTCACTAACTGTACATCAACTTGTTACTCACTAAACAGAGGACATGATGGACCCTCTTTTCTGTCAATTCTATAGGATATACAGTTCCCTCAATAGAAACTACTGGATATTTTACTATATGCAGGATATTTCTTTATGATGATGTCTGGTTTAAGAAAAGTTCATTTATTTTTCTATCTATAAGAATAGCAGATAGCTAGAAAAGTAGAATTCAAGTCATGCATACAGTAAAAGAATCCAACTGTCACTATAATAAAATGTACTGCTGTTACTTGTGTACAGTGAAATGATTTGAATCCGTGGAAAGCAGGTTATAGATTTTCCATGCTACAAATAAAAGAGTATTATAAAGAATCCTCCCTCTTTTCAGTGATGCAAAATCTGAGCTATGCACTGGACTGTGACTAAATGCTGAATAGGGCACTTAATGTGCATAGGTCCTTGAAATCTAATTTGACTATGATATAAAGTGATTAGATTTCAAAGGTTAATTTTCTCAAAGATAACTTGAAAATTTAATTGACAGGGCTTCCATGACTTGAAATCACAGAAGGTTTTATGGAGTCCAGCTGACTTCATTTTTTCTAGGTTGTTTGATTATCATGGACGTGTCCCCCCACCACCTCGTGCTGTGATACCACTGAAGCGTCCTCGTGTGGCTGTGACTACAACTCGTAGAGGCAAAGGGGTTTTCTCCATGAAAGGAACATCACGATCCACCTCAAGTGGGACTTCTTCCTCAGGATCCAAATGTGAGTTCCTTATACGAATTTGGATTTTGAAACAATGGTCGTGTTAATTTCTGCAAATAGGTAGCTTCTGCTATATAGCTCTTTTGCAGTTATTTCTTACCCTCAATATTTTGCTTGAGTTTTTTTTTTTGATTAGTGAAGGTGCCACACCTTTGGCGTAGTCAAAGAGTACAATGGTGTAACTTGGAAAGAAAACCATTTGAAAATATTTGATCTTTAGCCTCGGTCCCTTGGTCTCAAAAGTTCCCCTCCAATCATCCTGACTGTTTATGTGTGAGATCTTGTGAACAGCTGATCATAGAGCTAAGTTAATAATCTTTTTATAGAAGGACTGAGAAACACTGCTTTTTGTTGAATCTTGAGGGTTGTTTCCATTCGCGCATGAGGTACAGATGGTGGTCTGGGGCAGGGAAGGGAGGGAGATTGGGTTGGGGTTGATTTTTTACTCATGATTCCTTTGAAGACAGAAAGAGGCAAAATGTCTTTTCCTACTTGTAAAGGGAGTACAAAATGGGATTGATAACTTGGGGCTATTCAACCCCTTCTTACCGAGTTGGCCTTAGAACAGCTGACAAACATCAGATGTTCCCTCCTACATTCTCACCAACCTCCCCACCCTGTAGTATCTGCCAGGAACTTCATCCTCCTCTCCATGCATCTTTCAGCACCCACCTGTCTTCCCCTGCCCCTTATGTGGAGTGATACTGCCCTTGGAAGCGTCACTGGAAGAGGAAGAGAAAGATCAGGTAGGGATCAGATATTAGAAAGAATGAAGGGACTGCAATAACACGCTTTGCAGTACCAGGCCAACCAACAGAGCATCCTACTGAATTACACATATAGTGAATCCACAACAATACATCTTACTGGAAAAGAGGCTAATTATGGCATCAGGATGAGAAAAATACATACTCTACCTGAATAACCCATCCAAAGCTCACGCACTAGCACCTAACAAAGACAATGGAACAATGGTGTGTTCACTGGGAACCATTCTTGGTCCATCCTGAACTGATGGCATTCAAGACCTTGAAAGAGAATGTGTAATAAATACGCATGTGACTGAAAGAATGAAAGTGTGACGAGCAAAGCAAAAGTGTGGTATGCTGAGGAGCTCAGGACATTTTTTGATAGGGATGACCTCTGAAGATCTGTTGTCTTGACAGTCAAATCACACACAAGTCTCTGGTGAATGAATTGGTGAGATGTCTGTTACCAACAGTGGGAACTTTGATACCTAGGACACAAGAAAACATTAATTTATATGTTGTATTATGAAGTTCACTCAAACCATGAGTGGATGTGGGAGTAGTAACACTTCTTTTGTTATCTGTTATCTATATGATCATTTTCATACGTCTTGAACAAATCCACTTATGCATATTCACTCTTACTCATTCTTCAGTTCCTGAAATATGATTTCTAAAATCAGTCTAAAAGAAAGCCTATAACTTAATGCTGTCATGTTAGTAGATAAGGAATTTACGTAATTTTGCTAGTCTTTTCCACCCTGGGGTCTTTGGGTTTTCTTTGGGATTTTCCATAAAGAATCAAAAAGTAGTAAGTATATGCAGTCACAGATTCATTCCCTAGATCTCCATTTGTTCTTTTACTTATGTCTTATCCATATGAAAACTTACTAGTATCAGTGCATTTAATTCCCTTGTCCTAACGGATGGTCTGATAAAAATGGGCTTTTTTTATTCTCCTTGCCTTCAAGATGATGAGTTGTTTTCAGATAAATTTTTATACATATTTATTCATTGTCTCCCAAGAGATGTCAAGGAAATATCACACAGAAATTTTGATTTTTACTGTAATTAATGGAACTGAGCGTATTCCACTAATACCCAGATATTTGCTCCTGAGAATAATCACCAAATTTGCTTTATTACTCATTCTGCATTTCAGAAAATATTTTATAGCCCTGTAGCAAGGATTAAGTACTGCTAATTGCAGATTATAGGACTGAACCTTTGTTCATGTATGAGTACCCAAAACCCCCTGCTTTGAGACCTCCAAAACACTGTGCAACATGGCAAATGCTGCAGAACCTGTAAATTATTCTATGGATTTGCAATCGGGAATTTGTACATCTTAACAGGACGTTGTGCCTCAGTGAAAGTATTCTTCAGCGTATTCAAGTGCTATGTTAATTCTGTGAAATGTCAGTATTAGAGCTCCAGGTGACAAGGTTATCTTTGGATCCAGCTGTTAACACTGAGGAGAATGATACAAGATGAATCACTAAAAGCACAGGCTCTCAATTTGATCCTTACTGGGTTTCCACACTCAGTTTTTTACTATGGTAATTGAAACACAGAAAACATTTATAGTGCTTTAAAAATTGCAGAAAATGCTCCGTTTTACATGCAGCACATCTGAAAATAAATTGGTTGGGATTTTTTATTTTTTTTTAAGAGAACTAAGGCACACCATGTACAGTTTCATGCTTGATTTCCCCATAGAATTATTTCCCTCTTTCTCAAGTCCAGCCAACTAATCTTAAAGGTAGAAACATGATTTTGTTTACTTGGTCAGGAACATAATCAGCTTATTGTAAGATGTTTATCAGAGAAATAACCACGCTGTTCCCTGAGGGACTTCAAGCTGAAAAGCAAAAAATGTGTGTTCTGCTGCTACTTTTGCCATTTTATTGGAAAAGTTTTTTATATTGAATTGTGGGATTAAGCTGTCTAATATTTTGTTGCCTTTTACTCCATCGTGCTAATCTGAAATCCTTGAACTAATGCAATGTTGATTCTAATTGTAACTTATTGCTAGTAAATGATCTCTTAAATAGAGAAATTTAATTTTGGGTAAGGATGCTATTTTTGGCTTTGATAGCATTCAAGGCCATAAACAAGCTTAACGTCAGGTTTCTGTATCAAAATGTTATTTCATTTGCTTAAAAGATTTCTTCTTCAAATAGCTCTCATCTCATGAGAGCATTTACTCTACTAGACTTTTTAGATTTGAGTAGCAATCTCATAGACATAACTGTTCTCATAATTCTTCTGCACATTCAAACTGGATTCAGAAAATGAACCCATATATTTAGGAATAAAGGTCAGAACACGATGAACCCCCATCTGAAATGTTGCTGCAATTCAACTTTAGCACTTTAATTTCTAAAAATACGACTGACCTCAATTTATATATCTCTTTTTAAGCTGGGTGTGACACCTCCTTTGGGCTACATGTTTAAACGCAAGATGTGTTCTAGAAGGCTCTTTTATTCACTACAGAGAAATGGAAGGGGATACCAAATCTACTTCTGTATTAAGTCTACACACCACACCATCTAATCCTTTTCAAATAGATTAATCTCTGCCTTAGACATATTTAGAGTTTTTCTATTTGTTTCACCAACTTCCAGCTCAAATTTGTTTCATTTGTTCATATCCATTTGTTTTGTCAACACTGTCTTAGCTTAAAAGTTTTACTTCCTTTCACCTTCCTGTTGTCTTGGGCAGAAATATAAAAGGTAATATTGCAGTTTTCCATTCTTAGAGTCATCTTCATGGATCTTCTCTCTATATACTTGCTAGAATTCAGCGAATCAGTGTGTGTCATTCCAGATAAGCTCTCACCAGATCTTTATATAATGGCATTGATATTTGCCTATATTCAGAAATATGTCATTTTACACATTATAGTGTAACATTTTCTTTTTCATGGTTGCATTATACTGATAGCCTATTGTCAACTAAACAACTATACCCAAGGATAATTGTATCTCTCTTTTTCAGCAGGTGAGTTTCCAGGTTAAAAGTAAGATTTCTGCTGTTAGTCAATCAAGTGAGGGTGGAGGGTGCTTCAGTGCAATTGAATTTCATCTTTTTCTTCTGGAACATTCCTTAAAATTATTTGACTCCTTCTATTCTAGTTCACTCTGAAAGGTGTCTTCTAACTTCATATCATCCTCAAATTTCACTTGTTTCCTTAATTTTTGCATCTCAAAGTTGTTGAACTTATTTAGCTAGCCACTGCTTGAGGAATTGCACCAGCAATTTCTTTTCCTTTCTCTACATGCTGGCTGCTGGCTATCTGCTAATTAAAATTAAAAACAATAAAAACAACAAACAATAAACAGTAAACTACTTTATTTTTCTATTCTATTACTAAAAAGCAGATAAATATTTTAAATACATACAGCTCTGGTCTCATGTTTATGAACTTCTTGACAGAGATCAATTTGAAAACAAATAAACTAACAATTAAATGAATTAATTTTAATGGATTATTTACGTACTCAAAGCAAGACACTTGAAGTACAGTATTTACAGTTTTTATGTAACTTAACATGTGCTTCAAGTCCCTAAAATTATTCCCAAGCTCTACACCACAGAATTACAGAAATACAGAATCAGATAATTTCAGAATGGCTGAGGCTGGCAGGGCCGTCTGGGTCCCTCTGATCCACTCCCTGCTGCAGCATATTTCCTTGTCAGCAGACAACAATGAGAACAGTCTAGCTCCTCTTCTTCATTCCTAAAAATGAAGTAGCTGAATTGCTCTAGGAGAATGATTTTGAAGATTTGCACAACTCCCTGAAAATTAAGACAATAAGAGGCTTGAGTAACTTCGTCATTGCAAGGCTAGAATCAGGATGGACATTTGAAAATTTTATGGATTCAGTGACCAAATTTTATGCAAATAGGGGTGGAAATAAGGCTTCTCAGCATTTAACATCTTTGTTTACTGTCGAATCCTCACTGCTGGTCTGCTTACCTTCTAGTACAGTGCTTCCAAAACTGATTTCTCTCTAGGACACCCCAGAGACGTCCCTGTGAGGCAAAGAGTTTGGCCTGAGTTCACAGTAGCCGCAACCTATGTGCCCATTTCTTTGCCAAACTCAGAACTGCAAATGTTTCCTTTTTCTTTAATACTCAGAACAAATATCACTAGGTCCTTCTTGTGTCTCTTCTGACTTTTGACCTTTCAGCCTTGGCAATCACCTAACTCAACAGCTTGGCCAGATGGGATCTTTTGCCAGCTGGCTTCATTAGTAGGCTGCTGCAGGTATTTAGCATTTCCTACTATGCAGATTCATGCCATTTCACCTCAGACTCTGTATCACTTTGCTACTCTGGCACAGACAAACCTCATCCCCGAGGGAGGAAGTAACCTTCGAAATATACAGTTGTCAGAATCTGAATGTTTTCCTACAGATCTCGGCGTTGGATTGTGACCCGTTATTTCTCTGAGAATACTCTATGACTATGCTCTATAAATATTCTAAAAAATTCCTCCATCAAATGCTGTAGAGCATACAAGGATCCAAGACAAAGGTTACTTTTAAGCTTAGTTCTGAAGGCCTACCACTCACTGAGTATGCGGTCTGAGGTTTCAGCTTTCCTTATTTCATTTGTGTATGATAATAACATGATAAAGGAAGTTAATTACTGTATAGAGCAACCTACTTCCCTTAGCTGAGTTGCGACAATAATGCACGTGGCCCAAAACATAACGCTAAAAACCTTGATACCGCAGTGAACATGCTCCAAATTTGCAGTAAGTTGTTTTAGAGGCTGGTATTTATTACAACTGAAGTAGGTAGTAGCCTACTTGCACATTTTGTTGGCATATTTTACCTATCCAATTAAAAATATCCATGTGACATCATATTGAAATACACGCCCAAAAGTCAATGGACAGGACTGATCAGACAAAATTCAGCCAGGAGATTCTTTATGCAAAAACAGAATGAGTCCTTTTCTGTGGCAGAAAATCCCTTTTTCCAGGCATAAAGGCTCTCCAGTTGCTCCAGATACACACCCAAAGGCAATGGACTTCTTTTAGCAAAGATAAAGAGGTATGGGTAATACTTCTGACTGTTCTTCTATTGCCAGTCCATCGCAGTTTGAGATGGTGATCTACCTCTTCCTGCAAGAGCTCTAAGAGCAACAGTTGTGTTTACTCTTGACCTTTATAGTGGTTTTGGTTTTTTTTGTCACATGCTAATACAGGGTTCCCATCTTCCCCACCTTTTTTTTTTTCAACATGATACCCAAGCATGGATGGGTCAAGTGATCTATTAGTACTATTTTCTGAGCTTAAAAAAGTCTTGATAATGCCATAATAAAGAGATAATTCTTGAGTACTGTAACGTTATTTCTTCTGAAGACAAGACACCTCCAAAACTCTCCTCTTTAAGTTAGACCACAGGAGTGCAGTAATGCAGAAAAATGAGGAATAATGCACTGCAACATAGATTTGGAAACTTCACCTATTAATTTATCTGAGTTGCCTTCATGTTCCTAGCTGTGATCATAAAAAGAAATATTTTCATATGTTATCTACAGGTGGATAAAGTAGAAGAAATTACCCAGAAATTATTGTTTTTAAAGCAGTGATACCTAACATCTTATAATGAAATGAAATTGTTGACTGGAACAAAACTTTGCATTTCTGGCTGACCTAACATTTATGTTGTCATTCAATCTTCTCGAAAAATATATGTGAGGGTTCTTTTTTATTGTTGCTATTCTTATTGTTATTTTTACGAAATAGTTCAACAAAATAACATCACAACTGTGAATTGTTTGTCATATTTCAGTCATTCTTTCACTGCAGGCTTCTTCTCAGTGAAAGTTACTTGCATTTGACTGAAATGCTTTGTACAAAGCAACACATCTCACAAAACTTCTTGTCACTAGGGATTAGTATCCTGGGATTTCCTCAGATTCAGCATTTTTAATTAACAAAGATAGTTTTAAAATCAAATCTCTAAAAAAGTGAGAGGAATGAGGAAGTAGACTTTGTTCTAAGAGAAAAGAAAAAAAAAAACACATTTTGTTTGTGGGAGCTGCAAGTACAGTTTATTTTATGTTTTGCATCTTTGCTTTTTCCACAGTGAAATCAGATGAGTTGCAAACAATCAAGAAGGAATTAACCCAAATCAAAACAAAAATTGACTCCTTGCTAGGGAGACTGGAAAAGATTGAAAAACAGCAAAAAGCTGAAGCAGGTAGGTGAAAACAATCTGTAGTTATGTTATTTAAAACAGAACCTATTTATCAAGCAAGTAGACAGATAAGAGAGATAATTGGATCCTCCCAGAATAATATCTGCATAGAGGGCCTGAAGCAAGCTAAACTAACTGGGGGAAAGAACTAGTATTGTTCACAGAGCCTCCAACATCATTTGAAGAGTTGCTTTCAAGAAAAGGTTGTTTCATTCTAGAAAAAGAATGCAAAGGTTGCCTGCTGGATATTCTGGATAGAAAACATCGCTAAAAAGTTTATTGGATAGAATTATATTGAAGGTTGTTGATGATGGGGATACTTATGCACACATTATGATATTTTAGATGATTTATTTCAGGAAATATGGTCTGGGCAAGAGACAATAGTCATGAGTTGTAGCAAGGGAAATTCCAGTTTGAGATTAAGAAAAATATTCTCTGTAGCACCTACAGTGCTTCTAAGTACAACAAGATGCACAGAAAGTCTGTAGAATATCCAAAGTCATCTGGCCAAAGCCCCGTGGACCTGTACTGAACTTCGAAGTTGGTCCGTCCTTGAACAAATGTTGAACTTGGAGAGTCTGAAGATGCCTTCCAGCCCAATGAAGTTGTAGCATCTGTGTAGAAATCACTGCACCTCTAGTTCATCTTGTATTCTGTCTTGAAATGTTTTAGTTGTTTTTAAGCAAAGACTGAAAATGACAAAATCCAACACTGCTTTCTAATGTACTGGATATCTTTATTCTTGTAATTACAGTGATCATTTTGCTTGATGAATAATCTCACCTAGAAGCACTTTAAAGCCATGCTTTAAAGCCAAACTAAATAAGGGATTTATAAGGCCATATTTTCACCATAGTATATATGGAAAACTATCTCTCTTCTTACTGCTGTCTATGGTATTTCCTTGGCTACTTCCTTATAAATCTCCTGTTATATCTCTGTACAGAATCTGTGTACTAGAGAGCTGATTTTGTTGAGAGCCAGCAGGGAAAATGGAAGCCTTATCTTGTAAAAACTGTTAATGTTTCGGTTTGGTTTGGTTTGGTTTGGTTTTTTTTCCTCTCCATTCTTTGATGAAAACTAGGAATATTTTTTGTGAAATGTGTGGAAGAGAGTCTGCCTTAGAATTCACTGCTGTCTGCTCAGATTCATGTTGCTTGCTCAACTCCAATCATTCTGGGGAAGCCAAAAAGTTACAATTAGATACATCAAAAGAGTTCCGTCAAGACTATGAAAAAGAATTAGCAGTTTATGGACCTGACAGAGACAAAATAGATATTTACATCTGGATCCTTCCTTATCCTAAATGCCTGTCCTATTTGCTGATCTATTGTTGGGATATCTATCTGAACCCTGAATTTTCTTGCTCATATTGGAAAAGAAATAATGAATAAGTTATCTAGAGTGGGATACTACAAATAATTATTTTTTGGTTAACAACTTGAAAAACAAAAAAACAAAAAAACAAAAAAAAAAAAAAAAAAAAAAACAACCAATAAAAGCAACTCCTAAAAATTTTACTTCATATTTACAATCATTTTCTAAATTGATAGGCTAGCAATCTCTCAGTTGTTGCAGTTTACCCCACAAAATGAGTGCTTTACTCTCAAGTATAAGGTAAACCATTACTATGGATTGTGATTGCCTCTTTTAGAGCTGTGCACAATATGTATTCATTATATTCTATTTTGTAGTTCGTGCAAGTTGTATAAAAGTTGGTGTAATCAGTGAAGAGGTAATTGCAAGGCACTCCATTGAATCACTTGTGTACTGAAATGCTCTGAGATGGTGGATTCCTGCTTCAGGGAGCTTTTATATAAAATCCATTAATATGCAAAACAACCTGCATGTCATTGTACTTTGATATCCAATTTTCACTTTTGCTAAAGGACTGTAGAGAACTCATTTAAATAGAAATCATCTCAAAGAGGAAAATGTTGATTTGTATTGAATCATAGTGTTATTCCTTTTGAAAACAAGCAATGAAAAATCTCAGAGATTATCTGCATATCATTGCAGGTGAGGGAGGGGGGGAACATGTCAAAGACACCAAAATCCGCATTTAAGTCTCTTGAGTTGACAAACAAAGCTAAGTTGCCTGTGGGATGAGTCCGCAGATGATTGTTTGCTTGGCTGGAGGCTTTATGCAAGGTAAAACTACAAACTACATCAGTACCTAAACAATTCCACTCACAAGTTCAGATGTGAGATGATTTTGTTCCTTCTGAATAGTTTGGCAATATTTCCCACTTACTGCCAGAAAGAGTGGTCTCACTTAAGCCTGGGATCCGAGAGGATCACACAAAATAAAAAAATCAAGCCCTTATTCTGCACTGTTGTTGCTTTTTTTTTTCAATGCCTGTATCACTTTCAAGAAACACATTCAATTATTAATCTTAAAAGTTCGACTTCTGGAGGATATGATCGGTTAAACAGGCACGCTGAACAATCTCACTGTGTCCTATAGTCACTACTCTAAAGCTACCTCTCTTTACAGTAGAGGCTGATGTTCTGTCTTTTATTATTTGAAAATTTCAATTTATAAATTAAAAATTTCAGTAGGATGGATATAAGAGAAATTAAAATATCACTTATTTGACACAACTGACAAAACAAGAAAAACGTTATATTAGCACTTTAAATAAGAAAGTCTGTGCACTTTAAGTTACAGTTTTAGGATAAAACCTCAAACTCTATGGGCAACAAAGATGAAAAGAATCTGAAAAACAATCCTGAGCATAATTATTTGCAAGTTTATGGGGTGGCTGTATTTATGTGGATTAGCAATAACTGTCAAGAATTGGTAGAGGATGTACTTCTCTAGGAAATCTGTTGGAATAACTCCCTTGTTCATAAAAATCTGAATCAGAAAGCCAGGAATAAGAAGCTGTTCTGGAATAATAAAATTGTTAGAGGGGAACATTCTCCCTGCAGTATCAAGATGAAGATTTTTAAAAGTGAGTGCTGAAATGTAAGATCTTATTTTTTCCTCGTCAGCAGAGCCCAAAAGTGTAAGATGCTAAGATGGTATTTTAGTATCTTCTGAAGACCCCAGTCTACATAAGTGATCAAATTTTCTAGCAATTGTCTCCTAAAAGTTATTCCCTTAAAATATATTAAGTCCATTATTTCAGGAACCCTTTTTGAAATCCTTGACTGAAGTTAATTCATTTGTCAGTAGCCCAGCTAGGTTAATATCAGAAGGTGTCAGGGCAAGACTCAGTAGGCATAGCTGACAACCCTTATTTCCTTGTGCACTAAGGCAAGTAACAGTGATTTATAACTAGCATGGTATTGTGTATAGCACCTCACAAATAAAAGGTGGGCTCAGTCTTATACTGATATGTATGAACATAGTACTTTCAAAGCAGTTATCTAAGATGACTTTCTGTTCTTTAACAACAATCCTTCTGCAGAACTCATGTGAATAAGTGAAAAAAAATCTTCATTGTTCTGTATCTTCAATAAATGAATTTGAAAGTGAGGGATTAGAGATGAACAAAGACTGAAGAGATGAAAGTAAGATGTAAAATAAATGTGCAGAGGTAGAAGAAAAATAAATGCATTGATTTAATATTATGATACAGAAAAGTTGAGGAGATATGAATGTTATATGTTGTGGGTACAAAATAATATATTAATGGAGCTGAAAATAAAACACTTTGTAAGAAATCTTCAGAATCGTTGGCTGTTCAACAAGATACATGAAACACTAGCTAGAGCTACAGAACAATCAAACCTAATAAAGGAAGAAATAGTGTTGATCTAGAAATGTGGTCATTGATGGGTATTATCACTCTCAGACTAAAAATACATTGGCATTCCAGTTACCTGCAATTTATTCTCTTGCCTGTAAACACTCTGAAAAAAAAAAATAAAAAAATAAAGCTTTTCATTAAACTCCAAATAAAAAAACTCTCATCCTCTAACCATTCTAGCATCCAGTCTGTCCCTGTCATTCCCTTCTCAATCCTTCTCTGGATTTCTGCTATCTGGATGAAATTCCTCAGCATATCCTGGAGTCTCGAAATACATAATTACAACAATGCAGCTTTCTGTGCTAAGCCAAGCAGAACAGTTCCTATCAGCCTCCCCAGAAATTGTCTTTTTTTTTTTTTTTCATTACTTTGCAGAAATTATAAGCCCTATATCTATATCATGAGAGGGGATCTTTTCATCCAGCATGGCATGTTATGCCAAAGGAGAGAAAATATTACTTACTCCATAAAATACATATATATATATAAAGTTATCTAGAAGGATTTTTTATTGCCTGTATGGTTATTTAAAGATAGTCACAGCAAATTTATGTAAATATTTGATTACTTATAGACAATTAATAGGCATCCATTTCTCTAAGCATAGAGATCTGTGCACTTCTCACTGGCTGCAAGTAAATAAATATATGGTGATTATGCCAATTTATCCCAAGATAAAGCAAAGTCCAGAAAATCAAAAAGCTGAATTTGTTAGTAAAGCAAACCTTCATCCACTGCATGGGATGAATGAGCATGTTGGTACTATGGCTCGTGCATGCATTAGATTTTGAAAATCAGAGATTTTACCATATTCGACTAGTAGATATTAACTTGGATTTTAACTGATTATAAGAAGATGGGAAAGACAAATTTCTTCCTCAGAACACTTTTCTTTGCCACCAGTAGAGAAGGTTATTGAATTTCTATAGAGTATGTTTTCCTTACAGAAGCTCAAAAGAAACAAATGGAAGATAATGCTGATTTGGTTCAAGAAGAATGCATATCAGAGAATGCAGATAACTCTACAGAAGATCCAATTGAAGGAGGGCCAGATGGAGATGGGGATGGAGAAGAGATGACTGATGGGATAGAGGAGGATTTTGATGAGGATGGCAGCAATGAGCTGGTAAGGAATAACCCTGCCATGTCTGTCTATACAGTTGCTACGCATAACCACAGAGAACCAAGAATCTGGGTTAACCAAAAAAAGATCACAGCAGTACTGTGATATTCTGCAATAAGTATCTAGTCCCAGATTCTTCATACACTAGTGTATGTTAGGCACAGGAACTTCTAAGGATAAACAAAGAATATATATTCTTTATACTTGGTGAGTTTAGAAAGGAAATTAAATATATTTTAGCTTTTTTTCCATTTATTATTTCGCATTCAATGAAATGTAGATGATAAATGAAATTTACTTTTTATATTTATTTATTTATTTGTTAATTTGCATATTTGTTTTAATCAGAGCTTTTCAAAACCAGATAAGATCCTAGACTGGAGAACTTTCTCATTAATGACCATGTGGACGACAGTAGACTTCCATCACTGTCTTCCATGTGTATCTCCTGCAGGCTGCATTGGCAGCTTCAAATTTTTTTTTACAGAAGGATTTTGCTGTAAGAAATGCTTGGCTGAGGAATTTTCATCATGAAACTACTCTTTTCATGAAATGCCAATCATGATGTTAAAACTCTAAGTTCAAAAAAATATTTTAGACATACTTTGATATTCAGATTCGTATTTTTTTATGGTTTTTTTTTTTTTTTAATAAGTATGGATCAATCGCATTGTTTTAGACACCAGGATTCCATAACACTGTATTTTCTCTCTCTCTCTCTCTCCTATATTTTCATATCTTCTCACTTTGAGAAGAAATCACTTCTGTTGCTCAGTGTCACTTTCCCTGATGTCTTTTTGACACACATTTTGTCATGTTTACAGTAAAAAAATCATTGAGTACTGCCAACAGGAGCTGGTTAGAAATGGAACCACTTGAACCAACACCAAGTCTGGAGAAACAGTGCAACTGAATAAGCAGCATTTTGTACTGCTTAATACAGGCAGTTTATACGTACCTCTAATTTGAGTATCTGTGTTTCTTTAGCCAGCACAAAGCCCTCTTGAATTTATGAATCCTAATATCAGTATGCCAAAGAGTGTCCAAGAGAACATGAATCTCCCCGTCTTCTAACATGCAGTGTAGAATAGGTGATATTATTTGTTCTTCTCTAAGGAACAGGTTCTCCTCTAACAGGTATCAAGGATCTCTGTAAGCAGTCACCATTCTGAATTTGTAGGAAGTAGAAATATTATAATGCATAGATAGTTGCATATATAATATCCCACCATGGCTAATATCCATTCAGCTGCAGTGATATTAACAATTGGGTGACCACAGTTTAGGGACTGCGCTTCTTACTGCAGACAACTAAATGGAGAAGATTATGTAATACCTACTAGCTTCTGATCACTCCGTTCTGTCATTTCACCTAGAGCATATAGCATATTTAGCATATATACCCACTATATAATGAAGCATAATGTAGAGGAATTTTTTTATCTAGCAAAGGCTTAAGCAGAAAAGTTTCTAAAAAGCAATCAGTGTGGGAAGACGTCATTAGTAGTGAAAGTCATAAGTGTGGCATAAACATGCTTGCATACCCCTGCTTCCAAATAAAAATCCTTTCAAAATTTATATTCTGGCATTTTCTGAAATGCAATATGTTGCTGACACAGCTCCGAAGCCATCTCAGAGGACCACCTCCAGGCCTGTCAAGGACTTTTTGGATGGCATCCCTTCCCTCCAGCACGTTGACCACATCATGCAGCTCGTTGTTATCAGCAAATTTGCTGGGGGTGCACTCAGTTCCACTGCCTATGTTGCTAGCAAAGATACGAAACAGTGCTGGACCTTGTACCAACCTCTGAGGGACATCATTCCATCACTCATTATTGGTCTCCACTTGGACATTAAGACTTTGACCACAACACTTTGAGCGCAATCATCCAGCCAAATCTTTATCCACCAGATGATCCATCTGTCAAATCCATGTCTCTCCAATTTAGAGACAAAAATACTGTGTGAGACTGTGTCAAACACTTTGCACGTGTACAGGCAGATGTAACCCTGTCATAGAATACCATCAAATTTTTCAAGAATGATTTGTCCTTAGTGAAGCCATATTGGCTGTCAACTATCATCTCTTTGTTTCCTATGTACATTAACATAGTTTCCAGGAGGATCTGCTCCATGACCTTGCCAAGCACAGGAGTGAGATAGGCTGCTCTATAGCTGCCTGGATCTTCACTTTTTCTCTTTTTAAAACTGGTGTTATTCTTCTCCCTTTCCAGTTAGTGGTAGCATTATTGAACTGCCAAGTCCCATCAAATATGGTGGACACATGCTTAGCAACTTCATTCATCATTTGCCTCAGGATCCTCATGTGCATCTCATCAGGTCCCATGGACCTGTGTACCTTAGGTTTCTTTTGATGGTCTTGAGCCTGATCTTCTTTTACAGTGGGCACCACCTCAGTCAGGTGCAGCCCACCCCAGTTGCCAGGGCAGTGACAGATGAGCAGCCTCCTGCCTTCCACCTTAATAATATGGGACCTCTAGCCAAGAAGACACCAACTTTACACACTTTAAAGCTTAGAACCTACATTGCCATTGATATGAAGTGTATCTGCGCTCCCTTGCCATTTTCGGAAGAGGTCACTTGCTCTTAGTTTTTCTACCTGCTGCAATGGGATAATAACTTACCATTTGTTTTGTTCTGTAAAATCTAGGAAGATTGGTGAATGAGTAAATGCTACATATCAAATAAAGGATTGCTCTGTGAAGGATTACTCCAAAGAAATCTCAGGCAATGGATATTTCCCATGGAGATGCAACTATAAGTTGAATGGTATATTTCTGCCACAGTTTTTACCCAGATACTTTGCAGTATTGGAAAGTACTGTTATAATATGATGCATATTGTAAATTAATCTGTTTTTCAGTGTCCTTACATACATGTATTTATGTAGATATGATGGCCTATTCCTAAAAAATTTTTACTTTCCACTCCAATTATTGATAGCTGAATAACCAGAAGTTAAGTAAGAAAACTATCAAACATATAGTGAATCAGTAAGAAATGTTAGACTTTACTCTGCTTGAACCTGTTCTGGCACTGTCTGTCTGGCATTACCCTCTGTTTGGTGAGAATTAAAGCAGATAAATAGGCTTGTCACAAAATATGAAGTGCTAGCTGATGTTGTTCTCTTGTTTTATGAAAAATAAGTTTCTGAGGAATATAGAGGAGAGCTGACTAATAAAAAATGTGTCCTTTTCACATAGAGCCAGTTGCAATTTATTTGAGAAAAAAGAGGATTTTTTTTATAGCGGGAAAAATGTTAAGTGTGAAACAATTAGAACAAACTTTCCATGTGTGAAAACATAACCTTAGACTCCAAATTAGAAATACTCCTCTGAAGGGCATTTCCAAATGAAATCTATAATCTTTTTCAAATATAAAGCAAAAGGTATTTAGGACCATGATGAGAAAAAAAGTCTCCTCTTTTGACACTAAAACCAGCAGAGCAAATAGAAAACCATTTGTGATGGGCATAGCTAATGTTCTGAATTCAGTTAAGCACTTGCAAGTCTACTAATCTGAGAAATATTATTAGAGGAAGAGAATTACTTGGCTTAAATTTAGGATTTCTAATTTTTTTTCTCAATGCTTCATATTTAGCTGCAAATCTCCTACCAAACCATTTGCTAATATCCCACTGCAGGACTCCTTTTGTGGAAAAAAATACTACTTTGTCTTCTCTGTCTCCTGACAAGCCCTAAGGCTGTCAGTAAAGGCAAGCTCAAAAATGACAGCCTTGCCACCAGAGTCCAGATGCTACTAGACTAAAATCTCTGAATTTCTTTATGTGGGTCATCTTTGGACCAGAGGACTCATAGTATATATATATGTATATATGTATATGTATGTCCAAAGACAGACATATATATATATATATATATATATTTCTAGTTCTAGTTCTAGTTCTTACTTTCAAAAGAAAGTGACTAGTGCACTATGATGTATGCTGCGGGTTTAAGGAGTAGGATGTTTCATCTGAATTCACACTCAGTCTATTTGGAGGAACAGGTTACTGCACATTAACTGAGTGATGGCAGCTGTCCTCATGTCTGCTTTCAGCCTAGATCAGCTGTAAAGAAATGTGAAGTAGTTAGCCTGCAGTCTTGAATTACGTCAGGAACAGATTTAAGGAGGCTTTAACCACATCATTTGCGTGGCTGGCAGCATACCTATTGCATGCAACAGCTGTACACTTGCCTCATCCACCATTGAGATCCGGATGTTACTCATCCCCATATTATAATTTTCTACAGACTAAAGACACATCCACAAACAGTTGTTATGACTAGTCTAAAGTGTGAAAATTTGTTCTGCCAAAATAACTTGATTGCCTATTTGAACTCTAGCTCTAAACATGCTGTGTTTGAGTATCTTCTACAGTCATCAAACAGTTGTTAGGAAAGTTCTTTTTGCACAAACTCTTTGCCCACAGATATATCTTAGCAAGTGTCTCCAAGACAGTAGACACTCTAGTTTGATCCTTTTTTTCAGGCTCTGGATAAAAGTAACATTACCTAAAAGAGCTGGAAAGGGACCAGGCTGAACAACCTCAACTCTCTCAGCCTGTCTTTGCAGGAGAAGTGGTCCCACACTTGAGAATCCTCATGGCCTACTTCAGCAGGTCCATGTCCTTCTTATTCTAGGGTCCCCAGAGTGAAGGGCAGTACTTCAGGTGGGACCTTATGAGAACAGAGCAAAGGGGCAGGATCATCTTCCTTAACCTGCTGGCCACACTTTTTTTTTGATGCAGCCTAGGACATAGTTGTCTTTCTGGGCTGTGAGAGCACACTGCCTGATCATGTTGAGCTTTTAATCAACCAACACCCCCAAGTCCCTCTTCTCAAGTCTGCTCTCAAGACATTGTTTTCTATATTCACAATACTGCAGTATATTCCAACACCCATTTTGACCTTTAAAGGGCAGGTGGCCTCAGTGGCCCTGAAACCAGTCCTTTTTCCTCACTGCAAGTGACATCAGTAGTG